ATTTAGATATACAGACCAGATCTCTGAGGAGCTCGGTGGAGCCCTCCTCGGCAACAGGCCACGCCCCCAGGAAGCCCCCCCACCCTTTTTTTTAATGCTTCTATTATGGTATTGTCCCTGCCATACCTTATCTGTTGAATAGAAGATAGATGCTTTATATTGTTCTAAATAAAGAAGTCTCACAAAGAGTTTTTGAATGTGTCTAGAAAAATCCAATTAATGCAATTTGTGTATATAGTCTGGTTCTATTGGCATCATATTGTACTTGCAGTTAAGAGGGAAATAGCTTGCCCTTTGTGCTGGTTTTTTAAAATATGGATTTATTTTTATGCACAGAGAAATGCCATTGAAAGATTCTGTGGAGAGGTGAAACGCTTGTGTCATGCAGAAAGGAGGAAAGACTTTGTATCTGAAGCTTATTTGATCACTCTTGGAAAATTTATCAACATGTTTGCTGTTTTAGATGAGCTGAAAAATATGAAATGCAGTGTGAAGAATGACCATTCAGCCTACAAGCGGTGAGACGTTTTTTAAAAAAGCAACAAGTACAATAATGAATATAATTCATTATAAATGTATACAAAACATAAATAAACAGCAGCTCAGCAAAGAACCTACAATTAACTTCTCAGTTAATACAACTCAGAAACAGACTCACCCATATAATCAGGGCTCCAGGTTCAATAGCAAAACAGGCCTTAAAGGCTTTGCAAAACACACGTTGGGTGAACCTGATTGTCATGTTTTCTATACCAGTTCATTCATTTAGATATTTCTAATGCTCTTCTGTGTTTTACAGTGTCTACTTTGCTAATATTGATAGAATGAATATATGTTGGAAATCTAAACATGTTTTCTAAATAGTACATCAATAACTAGAATTTCCCAGTAACTGGTAGCAGGTCTTTTATTAAATATTCCATGAGGCATCAATCCAGGCTAATGGATATGCCACTCAGAATCATCTTATAGGGGAGATGGGTGGCATAAAAAATTAAATGAATAAATGAATGAATAGTTCATTTGACTAAAACATATGATTAAAATCTGCTTTAGATGCTTGCTCTCTCTAACAATAATACAAATCATTACAGCATATTTTATTTAATTTAAACGGGGCTAGATACCAGCGAACCACAGTATGTATTTAAAATGGACTCACTCTGCAGGATTTTCCCTTTAGGGGAAAAACACTATTTAGAGTAAAAGTAGACTGGAACAGTTGGACCACAAGGTGGCAGTAGTTTTCTTTAGTCATATGCCATTATTCTTGTTGAAAAGAACTTTGATACGATTGTTTCATTTTATATACTTCATCTGTGCAAAATAACTTCATAATTAGGTTCAAGTTGAAATATTAATAAAGCTAAACATTTGTTAAAGACATGACTCTAACTTTTTTAATGAATTGTTACCTCTGGATCCTGTAGATAATGTTCTGCTTTCCATTTTCCCTTCACTTAGACTAAATATTGAATACTGTAAATCTGTCATGATGGCAGAAAGCCTGTCACTTATGATTTGTAGGAAGGTTTGTGCCACAATATTGTACCCTTCAGCAAAACCAGCCACTCAGTTCATCATGTTTTCAGTTCATTAAAGATGATTTTTTTCCCCTTGCCAACACAGGAAGGGCATGTATGATATGTGCAAGGTCTTATATTTTGCTATAGCAAAATGCACAATATTCATTGCATACATTTGGACTTGCTTCTGAGTTTTTACAACCTGCACAAAACCATCCCTTCTGAGATTATGTTTGCCAAAATTTGCCTGACAGAAATGAGCCAGGTGTTGATTAGGAGTATAAGACGCACCAAGGTTTTGAAGAGGCAAATTAAAAAAAAAAAGTTTTTGCACTCTGCAAACCTCCCCAAAACGGCTTGTTTTTCGCAAAAACGGGCCCGTTTTTTTTTTCTTTCAAAAAAAGGGTATGAATAGCCCTTAGGAGGCTTGTAGAGTGTTTCTTGGGGGGCAAAAACGAGCAAAAAATGGCCCTTTTTTGCTCATTTCTGCCCTCCCCAGCCCCCAGGAGCTCTCTGAAAGCCCCCTACAAGCTATGCACCGTCATTGTGGTGAAGGGAGGGGTTTCAGGAGGCAAAAAAATTCTGCAGTCAGTGCATAAGACGCACCCAGATTTTCATCCTTTTTTTTTGAGGGAAAAAGGTACGTCATAAACTCTGAAAAATATGGTAATTATTAATGGGCTCATTAACTCCTTCCTTCCTCCTTTCTTTGTCTTATCTTTGACAAATACATTATATGTAGGATTTCCTTGTAGGAATCCTACTGCCCCCTTGTTTGCTCTTGCATTCATGATCATCTGTTAACCTTTGTGGGTTGGGAAATGAAGAATACCTGACACTTTTTTAAAATCAGCTTTCAGCTGGCAACTGAAAATGACAAACTTCTGTTTTCACTTCATTATCTGATATTTTTATTATATATTAGATAATTATTACATATTACTTATTTATTACATATTAGATGGGAGTTTCAGTTTCCATTCCTCTAAGTGTCATAGTAGCGTCTTTGAAGTCTTAAATATATCAGGTTTATCTCATAGGAGTTTTTAATCTGTTGTTGAAAGTACTATTTTATTATTCCTTTTCCTCTGTACTTGTACGACTTCGGTATATAGGTAGTCTTTGACTTACGACCACAATTGAGCTCAACATTTCTGTTGCTAAGCGAGACAATTGTTAAATTAATTTTACCCCATTTTACGATCTTTGTTACCACAGATGTTAAATGACTTGCTGCCATTGCTAATTTCTTAACACAGTTGTTAAGTGAATCTGGCTTCTCCATTGACTCTGCTTGTCAAAAGGTCACAAAAGGTGACCACACAATCCCGGGACACTGCAACAGTCATAAACACGAGTCAGTTGCCAAGCATGTAAATTTTGATTGTGTGGCCATAGGGACATTGGTTGTAAGTGTGAAAAACGGTCATTAGTCACTTTTTTCAGTGCTTTTGTAACTTCAAATGGTCACAAAATGAACATAAGTCAAGGACTACTTGTAATAAAACAGTTCAAGAATTTAAGAGTGATATCTTGCATTTCAGTCTATTTTGGTTATATGTTTTTAAATCCACTTTTATTCTTACCAAAGATGGCTTAATAATATGAAATATCTAAATAGGGATTTAATAAGAAGAATAAGCAACAGAGAAAGGAAAACTATTGATTTTGGGCAATGAGTCTATTCTTTATTTAACTAGTCAGCAGAAGAGAGACCCAAAATTAGAATCTTTTCTTTTCTTTTCTTTTCACAAAGCCATGATTGTTAAGGACTAATTTACTAATTCCAGTTACTTTCTTAGATGAAGTATTTTCAGTGTCTACTTCTGAGCATTAGCAACTACAAAGGAAGAAGGTTCACCTTTTCAGTTAACAGAAAAGCATTTTTGCTTACATACGTGTATCATGTGTAAACAGGTTTGGTTGCTGAATTGAATACTACATTTTTACTGTGATTAAAACTGTAATATTTTATAATGTAATAAACTATAGTAATACCATGGCTTTACTTTCACATTGTGATTAGCTTTTTTTCTTATTACTCATTCACTGAACCTGAGCAGATGGTAACCTTGGTTGATTTAAAAAGTGTTGCATGTGGCAGGACATAGAATTTAAATGGAAACCCTAGAAAAATCTCAGGATTACAGTCTAGGAAGATGAGACTATGTAGTCACAGGTACTGTAGCTACTATGGATCTTTCCTTTTTACAACCAATTTCGTTGTATTTAAATAAAGTGACAATAAAGATTATACTTATACTGATTTATTAAAGATATAGCCTCTGTTTCTTAATTTATATAACTGATTGTGAAATAACATTAACTTATAGATATAAACAATTTGCTGAAGAATCCGAGAAATCATAAAATGGTATAATTAGAATTATTTTTGTAGATTTAACTAATTTTCCCTTTTTTCCTTGAAAGGGCGGCCCAGTTTTTACGTAAAATGGCTGATCCTCAATCTATTCAAGAATCCCAGAATCTTTCCATGTTTCTTGCCAATCACAACAAGATTACACAAGTATGTTTTACATTTAACATTAACATTATATAAATTAACCATTAATCCCAGAATCTTTCCATGTTTCTTGCCAATCACAACAAGATTACACAAGTATGTTTTACATTTAACACTAACATTATATAAATTAACCATTAATCTATTCTTTGAATTTACATTATTCAATACATTACATTTACAAAATTCAATTTTTTACTGTGTAATTAATAAAAGTATAGGCACTTCTAATCTGGTATCTTAATAATACTGGATGGTATTCATTGATTCATTTTTCATTGTTTTAGTATGATTTAAGACAATGTTAAATCACATGCTTTGCTTTATTCTAGTCTTTACAGCAACAACTGGAAGTAATTCCTGGGTATGAAGAACTACTAGCTGATATTGTGAATCTATGTATAGATTACTATGAAAATAAAATGTACCTAACACCCAATGAGAAGCATATGCTTCTAAAAGTAAGTTATATTGCTGGAAACTATAAAAACAGGGTGAGATGGTGTGGGGTGAGGTGCTGGCAAAGAGTTCACTTGAAATGCTAATACATCAGAACAATTATTCTACTGAAATGTTTATATCTTTTTATTGTCTCCTACAAATCTCTCTTCCTTTCCTTTCCTTTCCTTTCTTTTTCTTCCCTTCCCTTCCCTCAGATGAAAAGACCAGAATGGAATGAATACATCAAAGCAATTTGGTCATAGGTAGTAAGCGAATTGCAGAAGTAAATGTTTTGGACTCAGTGGTTAGTGGAACAAATTGATTCAGCATTTATTAATTGCGCTGACGTTTAGCAAAATGAACATAATAATTTTTGAAAATACCAGTGCATTTAATTCTCAGTGGTGGTAGTCGTCTTTAAAATTGAACAAGTAGAGATTGTGCAAAGAAGCTAACACAGAAGTTTCTAAAGCATATATCACCCAGTATTTAATTACATATTATAGAAGGCTTAACATTGGTTAGCATGTTTTATTGATCCCAGTGCATATTGTGCCAATTTACCAGAGAACCATATCTCTGGTTTTTAGCATTTTTGTTAAATATGAAAAAAATCCAGCTGCCTACTTTTATTGTTTCTGGTGTAATCATTTTTTTCTCTTTCTTCTGATCTACTTTATGCCATGTGTCTTGGATTGTAAACTCCCATGTAACAACTGTCCTGTTACTAATTCTTGTAAACTCTTCTTAGAGCTTCTTTGGGCTGAACAGCAAGGTAAAATGCTTCAGATAAATAGGCTTTTATTCTTATCTGAAAGCAATATTCCTATGTTCTTTTTTTTATAGGTGATGGGTTTTGGTTTATACCTGATGGATGGAAGCGTCAGTAACATCTATAAATTAGATGCCAAAAAGAGGATAAATCTCACAAAGATTGACAAGTTTTTTAAGGTTGGTGAAGAATTGTTAATCTGAGTAGTAATGTATTTTTATGAATATCTTTGTTTCTTATGCAACAGGCTGAATCCTTGACAACCAAACAACAGGTTTATAAGAGTCAATTTTGTACTGTACAGAAAAAAATGCCATAAATAGCAAAGTATTTTTAAGATACTTGGTTGTTTGCACATTGAAAGCTTTCCAAGCTCTGATTATATAGCCACCTGTTATGCTTAAAAGGTATAATAGTTCAGGCATAGAACCTGTTCAGGAGGCATTTTGCCCTGTGGATGTTTTTGCCTGAGTTTTAATTGAAATAGTTGAATGGTGTTGATATACTGGGTATCGTTTACTGGCTTCAATCTATTTATGAGGTTTTGGAAAAGACTATTATATTTATTATAGCAAAATTACATTGTATTGAATTTTTTGCACATTGTTTTAAATGACGTTCTTACTTGGATCCATGATTTTATGATTGCTTTGTAATAATTGCATACATTTTAATGGTATATAAGCAGCTTATTTGAAAAATATGGGAGCGTGAAATATGTGTAAGATTTGCATTTTATTTCTTATAGCAGCTGCAAGTAGTTCCACTGTTTGGTGACATGCAGATTGAACTGGCAAGATACATTAAAACTAGCGCTCATTATGAGGAGAATAAATCTAGGTAAGAGTAAAAAATATCCAGCTATCTTTGTAAAGCATGCTGTAGAATTGCTTTATATTATTATCAGCTTTATTATATCTCACTTAAAATCATGATATAGGGTAAGGTTTGCTACCTTGATAGCAACAACTAAAGACGTTAGATCAGGGGTATCAAACTCAATTTCATTGAGGGCTGCATCGGCTGTGGTGGATCTGGGGTGGGGGGAATGGGGGGCATGGCCAACTGGGTGGGCATGGCCAGCTTGAAGCCACTCTCCAAATTGCTGACATGTTTCCTCATCGTATTGGGTAGACCCGGTTGAAGCTATGTTGGCCTGATCTTTTCTCTTTGAACTTGAATTTAATTTCTCCTAAATATTAAGCAAACTTTGGAAAGTATAACATTCACTGTGCCAATTTATTCTTTTTTCACTATTTCACTTTTTCACTATTTTCTGATCTCATTTTGGAGTTTTGGTTTTAATCTTTAAACATTTAAATGTGTCTGAGGGAGTAGATGTGCTTGAACATGAAGTTCTTCAGGAGCGATCTGTTTTAAGTTGCTCCTATTTACAGGAGCTTGCTTTTCTTGTACATTCTTAAAACGTTGAGTCTGATTAAGTTGCATCTTCTTCATATAGCCTTTAAAATTGTATTACTGGTAATTGTTAGGATTGGCTATGTTACTTTATGTTTTAAATTATATTTAAATGGGGGATACTTGTACATCATTTAGTTCCTGCAAAGTAGTTTCAAAATGTTTTGAAATAATTATTAATTGGAAGTTTCCTCCTTCTCGGTAGTGTGATCATTTCACATTTTGTGTTACTTTTGCAGATGGACATGTACTTCTTCTGGCAGTAGTCCCCAATACAACATCTGTGAGCAAATGATCCAGATAAGAGATGATCACATGCGTTTTATTTCAGAACTGGCTCGTTACAGCAATAATGAGGTATGTGGATTAGTGGGGAGTACATTTTAAGCAGAGGTAATTTTACATTATGACCAATTATTTTGCATGCTTCACTCAAGAGACTCTAGTATGTAACTTCCTTTTACAGACCATTTAAACTTATTCCTATTCTATGTCAATAGAAGATTTACTCTGGGTATGAAGTACAGTTCTGCTTATGAATTCAGATTTCTGAATTCCTGTTTTATAACAAATTCTTTTTGAAGATGGCTTTTTCTTAAAATCTAGGCAGAGATTTGTTAATTGCATAAACAACATAATGTCAATTGATAAGAGTTTTGAGGATTGTTGGATTCCGTTCCCAAATGTTTTTGAGCATTTCCCTTGGGTGTTGAAATGTAACTGAAACCATCAGTAAAAGATTTTTGAACCTGGTTTCTAACTATACTTCCTATTCTACCCCACCCTTGCACCAAGCCATAAGGATACTAGATCAAATAGCCTTGTATGAAGAAGTTAATGATATAAATGCATTCTATTTATAAATTAACATATTCTCCTGCACCATGTTGATATTCATGCTCTTTACATGAAGAAACCTTGTAAGAATATAGACTGCTATGGAACAGATTCACTTAATTTTCAAATTGCTTATCTAACTAGACCAGATCTTTTAGATGGTGGGCATTACTTTTGTAAAGCCACATATTTTGAGGGTATCAAATGAATAGAGTTAATATTGGACCATCACAAATTCTCACTTAATTTTAATAAAAATGATTCTTTGTATTTGTTGGTTCTTTGCATTTAAACCTGGCTTTCATTTTATATAAAATCATTTGTCATACATCCTTTGTAGGTGGTTACTGGATCAGGACGTCAAGAAGCTCAGAAAACAGATGCTGAGTATCGGAAACTTTTTGATCTTTCTCTTCAGGGTCTCCAACTTCTATCACAGTGGAGTGCACATGTTATGGAAGTGGTATGTGGAAAAAATGGATAGGAAGTTTTAAAGGAGAAATTGAGAAAAAATATATAATTGTAATCTTAGGTTGCATTTTAGTAATAAAATCTTATTGGTTATTTCCAGTCCAACATACGTGAATTAATAATCACAACATGGATAGTCATATCTTCAGCAGATATAAAGTTATCATAGTTATTGTGGCCAAATATCACATTTGTTGAATTGTGAAGCAATTTTTTCACCAGTTAACTCAACATGGTTTGAGGGACCCAAGTTTCTCTTTATCACAATCACATGACAACATAGCACAAGTAGTAGTTGTGTTGTGCCCATCCACAACACAACTGATGACAAATATGGACCTGGCCTGGAAATCTGCAAGGTTATTCTGTTGTATGGGCCCTTTGCTAGAAGGAATAATTGTTAGTTATTCCTTCTAGCAGAGGGCCTATACAATAGAATAATCTCGGAAATTTCCAGGCCAGGCCCGGCCCACATATTTGACCAATCACCTTCATTGTTATTGTAGACCTTTGAATACACGTGTAAATAGTTTTGTACTATGATACGGTCCCATCTCAAAAGCAGTATTTCAGAGGCACACCTTCTGTGTCAGCATAGGACATCTGCAGGATACCAAAAAAGTCAGTCTGCTTTGGCAGCCGATGGTGCAGCCCATGGCAAAATGGTGGATTTCTTTGTAGGATAACTGCTTTTTCAGTGTTTAATTTCTGGTACAATGTAAAATAGATGTGTTAGGCTTCTGATAACTATTTTGTGTAAAATACCGTATTTATCGGCGTATAACACGCAGTTTTAAAACTAAAATTGGAAGCTTAAACCCTGCCTGCGTGTTATACGCCGATAAATACGGTATTTTACACAAAATAGTTATC